AGCACATGTGCCCGCGTCGTGCAAAAAACTCATGATTTTATCGCGCTCCGAGTATTTAGTAATATTGACGCCGCATCATTACCGCAGAACGTCTACTACCGTGTCATCGCCGTCCGTGAGGGGGGGCCACGCCCCGGAGACGCGTCCTGCCTCTTCGGACATGCCATCACACCACCCCGCATGTATGAGGGCCCAGTGCGACGCTCCAGTGGCATTGCTACCCCCCCAGTGCCCCTGTCCCGCCTAACCCTGTAGCGTTTGACCACGGGATCTAGCCCTTTGACTTTGCACAGACGGGCATTGACCAGTGGACCTCCCCACCCGGTTGTGTTAGGTCAGCCCATAGGAACACTTTGGAGCAACATCCGGGCCAGACCCACAGCAAGATCCCCTCCGTGTAGACCCCACGCGTCTGTTTCCCCCCTCCAGGTGCCGGCGGCGGCGCCGTCCGTGAGGGGGGGCACACCCCGGAGCCCCAAGACGGGCGTCTACGCATGCATGAACACTTTCACATATGCATCGGGACCCGTGCGATGTTTCGGTGACATAGCTACACCCCGAACCCCCCCCCCCACCAACCAGAATTCCTTCCGTGTCGACCGTTTCCCCCCTCCGTGACACGGCGATAGCGACGTTCGTAACGGGGGGCAATCGATATACCATCGGGTTTGTTTTTTTAGATAAGGCATAATTATCTTATGCAAAAGCAAAAACTAAAATAAAGTAAAAATAACAAAACAAAGTAAAAATAAAAAATAAAGTAATGCCCACGTATGCCGATGGCAAGGCCGTCGGCATATATGTGCACACACGGAGGTTGTCCCATGGATCGGTGACGTGGCGCGGCACAACGATCGATGACGTGGCGAAGGGGCCTATGCCGACGGCTGTGCCGTAGGCATACCTCTGCCATAGATAAATTTAAAAATTAAGTAAAGTAAACATATGACAGCCGTCGGCATACCTCTGCCATAGATAAATTTAAAAATTAAGTAAAGTAAACATATGCCGACGGCAAGGCCGTCGGCATACCTGCGCACACACGGATCGATTACGTGGCGTGACACACGGATCGTTGACGTGGCAGAGGGGCCTATGCCGACGGTTATGCCGTAGGCATACCTCTGCCACAGATATGCCGACGGCCGCCGTTACCACCCGTCGGCGTAGGTTCAACGCCGTCAAATGGTCAGCACTGACCGGGCAGGTGGGCCCGTGCTATGCCGACGACCTGACCTATGCCGATGGGCCCCGTAGGCGTATCTCGGGCGGTCCCGACGGCCTCGTCTGTGCCGACGGCCCCGTCGGCATAGATGGATGTATGCCGACGGCTTTTCTACGCCTACGGCCTATCCTTGGCCGTCGGCATATGTCCGGCGATGCCGACGGGGGCCGTCGGCATATATTTGGCCGTCGGCAACCCCAGTTTTTCTGGTAGTGAGAGTGGATGCTAGATTTCCTATGCAATGTAGTACAAACAATTCCTTAGGAAAGAATCCTATAGTGTCCAATCCTATGAATCAAATGACCAATGTAGAAAAAATCCAACAGATTCTAATTCTTTAGAAGCCCTATGAAATTCCTTTGAATAAAAGGAGTCCTTAACTTGAAATTACACATAGAACATCTAATAATTTATGATAACAAGCCATCTAGAGCTCAAACGACATGGCAGATGGCACTGGCTTCAGGGCTCCACAACAGTAAACCTTCCTTTAGGAGTAACATTTTTTTTGTGGGGGATTTAGGAGTAACATTTTACCCCAGCCTCCAGGTGCTTGCAAAGTGATGGCATAAAGTGCAATAGATAGACAGGGCATTGGAATTTATGTAGATTTTTACTACATAAAAAAACTTACGTATTCTCAGTACTTATGTACTCTAGTTGGAAACCTTGTACAAGTGAAACCTATATGGTAGGGCCACGGGACAGAGCCTTAATTTTAGTAAGTGTTCGATATTTTTTGGTCAATCTTGCCCGGTTCTGGTACAGGAGCAAGTTAGGGATGTTTTGGGAGTGACCAGTACAGTGTTTGAGGAAAAGTATTTGGGTCTCCCAACCCCAGAGGGTCGCATGTCCAAGGGGCGTTTTCAAAACCTTCAAACCAGTCTCACCAAACGCTTGGTTCAATGGGGTGACGGTCTCCTCGCACAACCAGGAAGAGAAGTGTTGATCAAATCTGTTGCACAAGCATTGCCAACATATATTATGGGCGTATTCAAATTACCATACTCTGTATGTGATGATCTCACTAGGATGGTGAGGAATTTCTATTGGGGCTCTAGCAAAGGAAAAAGAAAGGTCCACTGAAGAGGGTGGGACTACTTGCTACAGCCTAAAAACAAAGGCGGTGTCGGCTTTCGTGATTTCCGTATGTTCAATCAGGCATTGCTAGCCCGTCAGGCATGGCGTTTATTGACTAGACCGGACAGCTTGTGTGCCCAGGTTCTAAAGGCTAGATATTACCCCCATGGCAACCTTGAGGACACGGTTTTCTCAGGTAATGCTTCGTCTTCGTGGCAAGCAATAAGTCATGGGCTGGATCTTCTGAAGAAAGGACTAATTTGGAGGGTTGGTAATGGGTGCAGTATAAGGGTGTGGAGAGACAATTGGATCCCAAGACCGTACTCTTACAAACCAGTGTCGCAACAGGGCCGATGTCGCATCCGGTTTGTGTCCGGCTTGCTTAATGACAATGGTTCTTGGAATTTGGAGATACTGCGACGGTATTTTGTTCCAGCTGATGTGGAAGAAATCTTAAAGATAAGGGCGTCGCCCAGGCTCGGAGAGGACGTGATTTCATGGGGCCCTGGAAACCACGGAATTTTCACGGTCAAATCAGCTTATTCTTTGGCCTTTGATGAAGCTAACAGAGATAGGGCAGAGACGTCCAGTTCATCACCGGACGGTAGTAGACAATGCTGGCAATTCATTTGGAAGTGCAAGGTACCCCCTACAGTGCGTAACTTTGCTTGGAGATTGGCGGTTGATTCTTTACCGACGTGGAAGAATAAGCATAAAATTGGTTTGGAGTTTCACGGTACATGTCCTGTATGCGGCATGGAGGAGGAGGACAACTTCCATCCTTTTATTCGTTGTCAGTTTGGACATGATCTATATGTTTCAATGGCCGCGAGTTGGCGCATCCCTGCACTGGAGTCTATACAGAACGTTGGGAAGGAATGGATTCTTCATGTTTTAGCCCCGCTGGATGAGGTTCAGAGATGCATGTTGCTGTTGATTTTTTGGAGGAGTTGGTTCGTTCGTAATGAGGTAACACATGCGAAGCCTGCTCCACCGTTGGCAGTATCCGTCAGCTTTCTTCAGAGGTATTTGGACGAGTTAATTGGCGTTAGAACTATTGCCCAGTGTGATCCAGTAAAAGGAAAACTAAGTATTTCTTATGACCTAGTTAATCTTAAAGGAAAGGCTCCTGTACAGGAGTCAGCCTGGATCCCGCCGCGCCCTGGATGGGTTAAGCTGAATACTGATGGTGCTTTCTCGTTGGTCGATGGAGCAGGTGCTGGGATGATCTTACGTGATAGTGCAGGCAGTATAATTTTTTCAGCCTGCAGACCCCTGTTCTCTTGCAGGGATGCATTGGAATCGGAGCTATGCGCATGTATGGAAGGATTGTCTTTTGCGACCCAAAGGTCGGACCTTCTGATAGAAATCGAGATGGACTCAAGTACTGCAGTGGCTATGATCACAGGAGTGGAGACGGACCGGTCGATCTATGCTTCTCTGGTGGCAGAAATAAAGTACTTACTTAGTCTTCGGATTTCTTGTATTACTTTTGTCCCTCGGTGTCAGAATAAGGCAAGTGATAAACTAGCTAGTTTTGCTAGAGCCGAGGGTCGGACAATTACGTGGGTTGGGTCAGGCCCGGATGAGGTAGTGTCGATTGTCCGAGAGGATTGTAAGAACTGTATAATTGAGTAATGCAAGTGTTTTTCCTGCAAAAAAAAAAGTGAAACCTATATGCACTTATGAGTATAAATACTATCGTTCCCTTGTCGAAGTGACATGCAAAAAAAAAAACTTGCAGAAACCTGTTTATGGCGAGTACTTCAACAGCGTAGCAGACAGTGGCACTTGGTGGAAATTGATTCCTTTCCTGGTTCTGCTATTCTGACTCTGTATACATGTTATGTGCGTATAACACCAGGTTACCGAGTCGGAGAGGATCCCAGTGATTCATCAGTTGCGAAATTTATCATTTACATTAGCAAGATATCTTTCGGCTTGGTCCTTAAACAAACGAGAGATAAGATCTACGTTTTGTTACTACTTATATTGTATTGTTGGACATTTCTACAGAGATCTTGGCCTGTGCAAGACATGGCAGGATGGGTGGTGACTCTCCATTAGACACTCGATCGAGTGAGAAGTCCATAACCGCGACTTGTCTCGAATAGACAGAGCATGGCACGCTAATCCATAATCGACTACACACCAGCTTAACAGGCCGGGCATCGGCCTCCAGAACAAAGTAGCAGTACAACAGTATTCGACTATTTGGCCACTGAGCGTCATATTTATCTTCAGAAATCTCCATGAAAAAGATTTTTCCGTTTTTGCTAACCACAAAGTAGTTTGACGCCCAAATAAAATGGACGTAGGTGGTAGGGCAGAAGCGGAGGGGCGCGGGCGGGCTACTGCACCGTGGTGTTGAATTCGCCGGCGATGGCGACGTCGATCCCGCTGCGTGGACATGAGCCCCATGAATCTGCTTTCTTCTCCCCTCTCTCTGCCCTGCTTCTCTTGCTGGCTCACAGTTTTCACCAAGAAGAAAAAATGAAGAAGATGCGTACGTCCCGCCGTCTCCAGAATCCGAAACCGTATGCGTTTCCTCGGCTTCCGTTTTCAACCACTACTAGTTATTTTTATATAGGGTCAAAAAAGAAAAAGAAAACCTAGGGTTTTGCCTACCGCCGCCATCCACCTCTCCTCCTTCCGAGCATCTACGGTCGCCGTCGCCGCCACCGCCAGCCCTCCGATGGAGGTGCCGCCGGTTTGGACAGCCGCCCGGGTCCAGGAGGATTTCATCAACTACTTCGAGTCCAAGTCGCAGTCGCAGTCGCACACGCCATGGCCGTCGAGCCTCGAGGTGCCCGTCTACGACCCCGCGATCTTGTTCGCCAACGCCGGGATGAACCAGTTCAAGCCGGTATTAATCCTCGGCACCGCCTCCCCCGATTCGCAGCTTGGCCGCCTGCGCCGCGCCTGCAACACCCAGAAGCGCATCCGCGCCGAAGCACAACGACCTCGACGACATGGGGAAGGAGGAGGCCGCCGTCGGGTATGCATGGGAGCGCCTATCGGATTCTTGCCTTCGCTCCCCCTTCTGATGTTAGTTTGTACCACCCTACTGTACCTCTGCATCAGGTTATGGATCGGTAAAGTTTAAGTGGAAAGTTGGGATCACCTTGGTGATTTCAATGGCGAGTGAAATTAAGCTTCTGTTTTGGCGATGGTGATGTAAGTAGACAGTAAGCACGAGATGATGACGAGGGTCTGTGACTTGTGTAGTGATCCTGTAACTTTTAGTTTTAATTTTGCACATGTTAATCCATTGGAGAGAGAGATGATATGCGAAGATATATACAAAGTTGCAGTGAGATTTTCATGTCAATCAGTTTTCGGGTGTCTTAATCGCCGTGAAATTTATGTCTATCAGCGGCCAGTCCTGTTTTGTTCAGTATCATCGCGCGCGTTCATCGGCCTATAACGACATACGCCCCTTCTATCTTTGTTTAGTGTGCAGTTTCAATTTTTTTATTCTAAAAGCATGCGACTTGTAGCCTATGTGCATGACGTTGTGGCACACACCATGTATGTTTCATAGCTTTGAACACAAGATGCATACGGAGTATTTTGGTAAGGCAGAGAGGCAGGTAGTGTAATTTCTCTATGTTACCAGAGAGGATACATGTACAAATGTCTTTTACTACATATGCACAAAGACAAAAATGCCATGTAGGTCTACGAATCAAGCATCAACCTTCCATCGTGGCCAACTGATACATGAGTAAGATATCATCACAAGACTGTGAACTTGAACTAATATCGTTTCTACACAGCCAAACAGACTTGAGAACAACAGTGGCACCAACATAATGTGCATAATAAGAGAACAACAAGACTTAAGAGTACCCACTGGCCACTGTAACAAAAAAATATGCAGTAAAAAATAAAAAATGTGACAAGCTATGAGAAGGGATTCAAGGAAAGCAATCCTAGAACAGTCACAACCATACCATGTTTACAACAGACGATATCAAACTAAACAGAGTAATCATGCTCATACTAGTTTTTCTCCCAAAACCGCACTTGTGTCTCACTTCATATTTGAAAACACCCAGCAGATTCGAGAAAGCAATCCTTGACCCTCATCAAGCCCTTCAAAAAGTGGGAGTCTATCGGTTTCACCTTCACCTAAAGCGTTTAACATAGAAATTAACATATACTAGGACACTGTATGAGTATATTGTCGGATAACCTGTCATCTAAAGCTCAACAACATGGCACTGGCTGCAAGGCTCCACAACAGTGAACTTCACTTTCGGTGGAACAATTCCCTCGATGTATGTCTTGATAGCCAAGAGCCCACGACGAGCCTCCAAGATGGCATCCCTGCGCATGCAGAAGCATTTGCCAGATCTATTGACAGAACACCTAAGGTAATCATATCCTTCTGTGGCGTCCAATGTAAGACACTCAAGTGACTCTGAACTCTCAAGAATATGACATGTTAGCTCAACCAAGCTCTTTGCAGAGGAGAAACCAGCAATAGTCACATTCCTGAGCTTGTCATGGCAGTGCTTCGGCATCCGCCTCCGACCTGAAGGATCTGCCAAAATGGATGGATGTTGCATGCTTGCCTGGAACCCCTAAAGATGTAAAGCAAAGACATATGAATTGAAGGTTCCACCATAGTTACGTGATCTATTTTAAGGGCAGGATCTGGAAAGGAAGATATCTTTGCAGGGTGAACAAACTTACATTCAAGAAGAACGTCTCCAAGGAAGGAGAAGCATCAAAAAATGATATAAGAGAACAATAATCATAGGCTGGGGCTGCAGCAAGTTTAACAGTCAAGTGCTTGAGGAATGGAAATTTGCTACCGACCATCGGTGTATTGACCATCTGCATAAATAACTCAGATTAAAAATGCAAGTGCATGGCTACTGTAATATCATAATACCCATTTCAGTAGTCCATTGTCACCAGAAAGTTCGTAGTATACCTCAAAATTTGAAAATACAGAAAGTGTTTCAAGATTTGGAAAGGTGGACGGAAGATTGGCACGAGCCTCACAGACAGCACCATGACAGTGCATGTCTAGGGTCTTCAATTGCAATGCTTCTCCAAACGAGAGTTGTACTAGCCACTCACCAGTAAACCAAAATTTGGATAAACATTGAGCTTCAATCTCTATTGTCTGCAGCCTCTTACATGCAGACACTTCAAGGGTGATGAGCCGCTGCAGCAGGGAAGGTATCTTCAGTCTAATTATCTTGCTGCAATGGCTGAGTCCCAAGTAATGGTTTTCAATTTCAGTTTCAGAAAAATTTCAGCACCAACCGAAATCACTGAAAATTCAGTGAATTTCAGTGATTTCAGTTTCCGTTTCAGCCAAATGACCGAAATATTCACTTGAATTCAATTAAAATTTTGAAAAAATTAAAAAATATTTTTAAAAATATTGGAATTGTTGTGCTATACTGAAATTGCTGAAATATTTTGGCCGAAACATAATATTTCAGTGTCTGCTGAAATTACTGAAATTCAGTGAATTTCACCGAAATCTCACTGAAAGTGAAAACCATGGTCCCAACTGCTGCAAAGCAAAAGAATTGGCTAGAAGGCAGGCTAGCTCATTTCCTGTAATATGGACATAACACAGCCTAATTTGAGTCAAACTTCTCAAGCCAAGTCCGACTGTTGGACAGAACACACACCTGGAAAGGAACAGACACCGAATCGAGTTTCCACTTCCTTCAGATAAAAGTGACCATGGGAAGTTGTACCTTTTATGGCCCATAGAAGGAATAACAGTGAGTTCTTCAATCCCAGGTGTGACGGCAATCTGAAGCCAGCGATCAAGAAAACATGCCCTGGTCTTGTTATCATAGAACTCAATTCTGACTTCTTTCACACCAATGCCTGGGTGTTCTATCCAAATTCTGTCAACTTTGTAGGTGAGATCTCTTGATTTACCATCCTTTTCACACACATCTTCATCCATGCCTAGTGTCTTTTTACTGAAGGTGAGGCTGGTACGGCGTCTCCAGGAATGCATAAAGGTATGCTAAACGCAGGCAGCTCGAGCAGCACCTCGCATTGGCATTAGTGAATGTATATGCCACCAGATGTCCTACATGCCATGCACACATGCGGAGAGAGAAATAGAACATAAGCAAATGATCACTATAAATTAGAAATAAAACATAAACATGCGGAGAGAGAAATAGAACATGTCATCTTCATCACTATAAATTAAACGTACAAAAAAAATCAAAAGGTTCAACATAGATAATTTACTTGCAGCACAGTTCTTCTTTCATCAGCATCTTATCACATACCTCCGGAAGAATCGGCAGATATTTCATTCTTTTGCCACCTTCAGAACTACCATCTTGCTGGAGGGCTGGTGACTTTCTTTTAGACACCGAAGCGATCGATCCGCCTGCAACACACGATGCATAGTCATAGACAGCCTGCGTATTGACAGAAGAAACCAGCAAACTCAAACACACGGAGGCACACGGTGAAATCCACTATGTTTCTCCCATTCAATTTTGGTCAACAAATACTCCCTTCATTCCCTTATACAAGGCCACTATAAAAAATACATTTTGCATCTATACAAGGCCACTAACAGTAACCGAGGCTTTAATGATGTTCTCTCGTACTAGCAACTTATTTAATACTTGCATGCATGTAGTCATAATGGCACTGTGCTACTTCCTTCTCATTCTTTCCTTGCATGCATGCAGACGTATTAATGATCCCAGCTAACAAGAAGAAAAGTTGGCTTGCAAAGTAGTCATTAAATTTTTATCTAGATACCTGTAATTTGACTTTGTGACCTTGTATAAAGGAATGGAGGGAGTACTAACAATCTCAGTAATATCCTTTAATTTATTGCTGGTGAGAGCTCAAATATTATTTGTTCGAAAGTAAACAGGTATACGAGCAAAAGGAGAGAATAATCTTGCTATCCACCAAAGCAAGAATTCACGCCCAAACGCGAACGGGATCTGGCATGCCAGCCGTGGAGCAATATCGAATAAGACTATCCCCTTCTCGGAAGGGGGACAGCATACGAGGGCACGCATGTACAGAATATCGGCGGAGGGGGGCGAGGGAGCTGAGAGAGAGGCGGCGGCGGCGGCTTACCATGGGCTCGCGTTTGCCGGCGGCGCCGCTCCCGCTGCATGGAGATGATCCGCTGCAGCGCCGGAAGCCCCATGAGCGATTCGACGCCGACGACGCCGCCCTTGGCCGAGGCACGAAATCCGTTTCCCTCTCTCCCCCGCCGCCTGTGTCGATGGCGCGATTTGTTTTTCACCGGAAAAAGAAGAGCCCGAATCTAAACCTCGAGTTTGAATCCAGAAAGCGCGAGGTGGATGAAATCGCGCCGGCGCCCAAAAGTCCAGGAGGAACGCGACTACGCGAGGCTTTTGGCCGCTGCACAAGTGGGTCCTCCCAAAACATGTGAGCAGGCAATAGTTTGGCTTCTCCCTATGGGTAAAACACATGGGCTGTCACTGAAAATTGAGATATGGATTTAGTTTGATCACTGTATTATGGCTAAGCTAGGTTTTATAACAAAAGGTTAATATTTTTTACCACATGTTGTGTGACAACAAAAGGTTAATAATTTGTTTCGGCCGACCAACCGAAACTGGCATCTTTTCTTAAATGCGGTTCCTTAGGGTCCGATTCATTAAAAAAGGATAGTGTTGTCAGGTTAATTAACGGAAACCCGGGCAAAAACCATTACAACACGCCCGGCTAACCTGGAACCAACAAGACCACACACACCGTCGAGAAGAGGGCACCGTTGAGGCATTCATGCATTGTCATCGTCATCATCTCTCCCCGAGCAAGCGACTTCGACTTTGCCGCAGACAACCCGTCAAGACCCCTTCGAAAGAACGACACACGACGACCTTGTCAACCATAGCCAAACAATCGACCGCAGACGTCGAGGACCGGCAGCTCCGATTTTGCTGATGCGCTTCACTAGAGAAAGTTGCACGCCTTGCACTGACCTAGCCCAGCACAACCTCCGAAGAGCATTGTCTACTCAAACCACCCTCATGGAGTCATCCTTGCCGCAGGGGCCCCGCCGCACGCAGCTCCGACTTCTCTATCACAGTAAGAAACTAGCATAGACAC